GTCAACAGGAAGCCTGAAGTGAGCCCAGGCTGTGATCTGTCTGGAAAGCTCCAAACATGAGACATCGGGTCCCAGTACCACTCAGGAAGCTCCTTGAAAAGCTGATTCCTCCTTTTCACAAACTCCTCAAAGATGCTGGCCTGCACAGACCTGGCCAGGGGCAACAGCCCTGAGCTGAAGGGGATTCTTGTCCCTTCCTGGAGCTAGGCCTCCTGGTTCCCTGGCTCATGTGACTGTAGGCCACCAGGTGACCTCTCTGAGCCTTAGTTTTCTCATCTGAGAGATGAGAGTGGCAATAGTTCGACCTCAAAGGATTACTGAAACAGTTGAGGACCAATAATTGTTAGGTGTTATTACTGAAGGAATAACTACTCCCCTTCTCTTTCCCAAATGGGAAATGGGAAAAGTCACATCTTTCAAAGCAATTATTACATCTTTTAGAGTGTATAAGCAAGCTCAAGAGGCACATTTTTTCCAAAAACCACCTCCTAATGTACCAATGTACCTTAAAAAAAAATAAGACAACCACAACCTATATGTGTCAGGCTCTGCCAATAACTCTGCCCGGTGGGTAGTATTTATCTCCATTTTAAGATAAGGAAACTTACAGTGTACTGTGCCCAAAGTCGCGTGTCCTTCAATAGCAGAGCAGGGTTTGACCCTGATCTCACTCTAGAACCCATGCAATGCTGTCTGCTCATCAGCAGGAGTTCCCGAAACTTCCCTATTTCTCCAGAGTAATAAATCCATGTTAGTATTTCCAGGCAAAATCTGTTTACATAAGTAAGTCTTGTAGTTAACAATGTGCTTCTAATTTAAGTAGAGAATGCCAGTAAGAAATGGCAGGAAATATTTCCTAAATTTAACTCATTAATCCTCAACTGAACATAAGCATGCTTGAAGGAACTAATGCTTTACGATTTATAAAGTAAGAAACATCATTTTCTTTCTTTTCTTTTTTTCTTAAAGATTTTTTTAATTGTTCTTTAGAGAGAGGAAGGGAGAGGGAGAGAGAGAAGAGAGAAGCATTGATGTGAGAGTGTAATATTGATCGGCTGCCTCCTGCATGGCCCCTACTGGACACTGAGCCTGCAACCCAGGCCCGTGCCCCGACTGGGAACTGAACCTGGGACTTGAACCCAACCAGCAACCTTTGGGTGCAGGGGATGGGGTGCAGGGGATGACGCCCAACCAACCGACCCACGCCGGCCAGGGCAACACATCATTTNACCCAACTAACCGACCCACGCCGGCCAGGGCAACACATCATTTTCTTGATAAGAGTGGTTTCACACTCCATAGGGCATTTGCCTTCGCTCCCTGCTCTGCTCTGCTCTGCACCCTCCACTAATTTTGTCAACACCCTCAGATCTGGATCAGAGCCTTGTTCACTTTTCACTCCACGGAGTCCTGACTTCAAGGCCAGGCCCCCAGGACTCCCAGCAGCCAGAGCTCCTAGGCAGGGAAAGTTGTCCCCACCACAACATTTAGCACAAGGCTTTGCATGAAGTAGGTTCTCAATAAATGTGATTTGAAATCATGCAAATCACTATTGTGGACACCTGTTTTGTTCAAGCAGCCCTGCTTTTGAGAATGGGGAAAGGGCCACCTCTGACCATTTAACAGTGGAAACCCGGAATATAGGAATATACACCACTGCACTCGTGAGCTATACAGAAGTGACCTTACGGACTCCTTAATTTCTCTAATGCTCCTGCTTAGCAAATAGTTCTGAGGGTCCTGTTTTGTACCAGACACTCTCACAAGTGCTGTGGAGCCAAAAAGAACGAGACCCATCCCACCCCAAGGGAGCTCGTTTCTACTGGGCGGAGGAAGCGCCTGAGGGCTGACTGCATTTTTTCTAGGATACGCAAATTTCTGCTCTGTATGCTGAAAACTGTTCTGCTATTGCCAGCTAGTCATTGCTTACATCGGTTAAGATTTCCTAGAGCCCTAGCTGACTTAATGCTGCCTGGAAAACAAGCATTTTGGAGTTTTCTCTCTATCACGTCTTTCTTATTGAGTGTCAAAGCAGTTTGAGACTAACTCTTTCAAAATACTTCACCTTTTGGAGACAGATGAAATGGTAAGAATAAATTATTAATCATACAAATACCTTTGTATCATAACTTTGAATTGGTAACTTTGCATAAAGAGAAGTTGAAACTACAACACACATAAGGGGAGGAAGCGACGGGAGCCCCCAGTTTGTGACGTATCCAGCGTCTTGTCTTTTCTGTTTGCTGTTTGTTCCCTGCCGCCTTCCACAGCTCTTTATTTTAATCCATATCTCCAAATAGATATTAATAAATTTTAGCACTTCTGCTGAGCCCTTCGCCTCAACACAAGCAAAACAAGTGCATTTTCTTCCCCTAGAATTGATGTGTTTTTCCATTATTCAGGTCTGCTTTCCGTGAATTGCATGCGAAGCACGGAACACTTGCAGGATGCACAGCTTAGCCTTTGGGCCCTGCCCATTTCTGCAGGGCCACACTGACAGCGTGCCGTTAGGTCATGCTGCAGCTTTAGAGCAGTTAGACCGAGCCTTGGCCAGAGGAGGAGTGACGATGGAGACCCGGGGATTTCAAAAACAGAGGCCCTGGTGGGGGCGGGGGCGGGGGAGCAAAGAGGGAGCAGGGGTGCCTCAGCTCCACCTCCCTCAGAACGATGGTGGCGATGGGCACACGGACCAGGACACAGAGGTAAGGCAAAACTTCCAGGCAGAAATGTGTAGACACTGGCCTCTCCTCCCCCCAAGTTTCCAGTGCTCTGCCCAATGTTTCAGGGGTTCTGCGCCCATCAGTGCGCCCACGACCCTGCCCTCCCTATTCCTGAGGGGAAGGGAGGTGGGCTTCAGGCTCAGCTTCCTCTCTAGGGCGTCCCCTGCACCCAGTCAAGCCCAGATCCTCAGGCCCTCTTCCCTACATACAAATCCGACAACTTCCCGCCCTAACCACCTCCTGATAACTCCCTGCTCCCCTCTTCCATCTCCAGGACTATGATCCCAGGACCTTTCCAGGTGTTCCCTAAGCACCCAGTCCCCCAAGAGACCCCCCCTCCCCCCAGGAAAGGACCAGCAGGCATCAGGGAGCCAGGTCCTGTGCTAGACCCGTTCTGGGACCAGAGAATAAAGGAAGCTATGAGGCCCTGGAAGTCAGTTATTTGTGATGCTGAGGACAGGAAAAATACTGGTTGGAGCTTTCTGCTTGACCCCCAGCCTGCTGGGGCCCCTGGAGGCTGTCGATCCCTTTGGAACTGCCCTGTGACTCATCTTTGACCCCTCTGGTCCACAGTGTGCCTTTCTGGAGAGCATGAGGGCACTTCCTGTTCCCACTTGGAACTGGATCATGGGCTGCACTGGGACATCTCTTGTATTGTTTAGCTGTCCCATTACGATAGAACTTTTTCCCCATGGGATGTTTGATCTCAGCTTCTTGAAGGCAGAGGGCCCCCTGGCACTGGGTGGCAATCTGGGCATACTGCGGATCAGTTGTTCTTGTGTCCGTGCTTACATATGGTAGGAAGCAGGCATGGAGGGTGATAGGGTATGTTCTGAGGTATGCAAATGCACTCTTTAAGAGATAATGGAATCTAAAATAATATTTTCTTAAATATTTGGACATTCCTTTAGACATAAATTATCTAATTTTCTAAATCCTTTATGCCATTTTGCATAGTTCAATGCCCCTAGACTATAGGAAAGGATGGTGATATTGTCACAGGTCTGGACAGAGGTGTCCTTGGGAGGTAGGGTGATGGGCTGCAATGCCCAGAAGCTGCATATGTGTCACTTTCTGTCTCTGCTAATAAAGAACTTTTAACTACTCAGAATGTCTTCTGTCTTTGTTCTGCAGAAATGACAAGTCTTGTCATTGTAATCTCCCATTATTGTCCCTTGGCACCAATAAATAATACATTCAGTCATTTATTCATCATATTTTTACTGAAAACCTATCGCTTCATGTGCAAGATTAGAAGCTTGGAATACAAAGTCATAAAATGCAGTCACTGCCCTTGAGCAGTGCTCCTTCCAAAGGTGACATGACATGGTTGGGTTGTAGCACAAATGTAATGAAAATTGATGCTCAAGAGAAGGCACCCCAGAGGCTGAATGGAGCATGTGACTTGGGTCTTGGAAGATGAGTTGGCCATCTTTGAGGTAGAGAAGAGGGAAAAATATTCAAGGCAAAGGGAATAGTTCATGCCAAAGCAGGGAGGTGTGAAAGAGCCTTGTGTGTACTGAGAACGGCAGACTGGTCTATTGGAATGGAGCGGTGTGTGTGTGTGTGTGTGTGTGTTTTGGCAGAGGGCGATGATGAAGCTGGAGAGGTGGTAAATAAAATCGATGCCATGCCTCCTTTATATTTTATCCACTAAATAAGGGGAAACTAGCTGAGGTCTTTCAATCATAGAAATAGTGACTAGGGTTGGTGTTAGTAATTTTGCTCTGGTGTGAAGAAAGAATTAGACAGGTGTCATTCCAGAAGCCAAGATAAAGGCCTGAATTACGGCAGAGTGATGTATTAGAGACAAATAGAATTCACAGATCAGATACCTTACTGAGAGTGAGGGTCAGGGAGACAGAGGGGGAAGGAGAATTTTTAGGCTACTCCTGGATGGTAGAGTACAGTTACCGATATAAGACATACAGGGAAAGGTGGGGTTTTGTTTTTAAAATAAGGATGGGAAGATAAACTTCCAGTTGTACCAATAAATAATAATGTTATTCATGCTTGTAATTTTTAGCATCAGTGCACAGTGAAAATCACATGATGTCAATTTCATGCCTGTGGCAAATGCCCTAATTAAACACATCCTGCAGTTATTCAAATCTCTTTCCTCCTCCACATATTTTTCTTTCTCCCACAACAGATTCCCTCCACTTAAACCCCTCCTAACAGAGAGACACCAATTAGAGTTCAGACTAAGGGCAAGCATGGAGCCGTTCTGGGCTCTGGTGCAAGTATGATTTCTATAAAAAGACACTTAAGAAACAGGCGAAATGTTGCCATTTTGCCTTTAATGGAAAGGTGGCTAGCAGTTACAGTAAAAAAAGAAAAGTTTTATTAAAAAAACAACTCTTCAGCTTCTAGGCAATACTGAATTTTCAGAAATACACATACACTTGCAAACCAATAGTCTGTATAAAAATAAACTCTGTGTGATTAAAAACGAAGACACCCCCCTCCCCCCACCAGTCTTCTCAGCTGCACAATAAAAAGGAGGCAGTCTGTCTGAGGTGGGTTTACCCCAGCGCAGAGGGGGCTTTAACTTTGGGAGACAGAGCCTGCTTGAAGCGCCTCTTCAGGTCTTGCATGTTGGGAGAGCGCGGCCGAGGAATGATGGAGGCCCTTCTCCTCTCCCCACTGAGGCTGTGCAGCTTGCTCACTTCTTTGCAGAGATGCTGAAACACATCACAGACATCTTCGTAGTTTTCACTGGTGGAGATTTCAAGGAACAGACTGCCTAGCTCATTGGCTAGTTGAACACCATCATCGGTCTGCACCTGCCGGGCATGCAGAAGGTCTCCCTTGTTGCCCACGATGATGACAGGGGCCTTGGAGTCAGGGTGGACCTTCCGGATGTGCTGGTAAAGGGGGCGGATGGACTGGTAGCTGTCATAGTCTGTGATGGAATAGACCAGCAGAAAGCCCTCTGCCCACTGCACCCATTTGGACAGGGAGTCAACCACCTGCATGAGGTTGTCTTGGACCTGAAAAGATCAAAGGGAGTCTGATCAAGGAAGCCCTCAGTGGGAGAGGACTCAAAATAACATCAAAGTAACCCTTGAGCAATGGTTGAAAAAGAAATCACTAAATATAGCTTTCAGATTCTGCCCAGCTTCTGCAGAAGGAGGTTTTTGATGCAGAAAGACAGGCTCCCTGCCTGGGTAATTCTACCAGCTGCTGCCAATGCATTGTGCTTCCCCTCCTTGCCCGGCAGGTAGTCTGTGGAGGACCGAGGCTGCCTGGAGAATGACGTCAATGAGAACTTCCAAATCAGAAATGTCGCAATTTTTAGGGAACTAACTCAGAAAAAGCAAAACTTTGAAAATAAGCCAAGATAAACATCTATTCCCAAAACCCATAAAAATATTTTTAGCATGTCCTTCTTGAGAATGTTGCAAGAAACAAATTCTTTCTTTCTGTTCTTCCACAAGACCTTTCCTCCCTAGAAGGGAGAGCAATTAAGTAACTTGTTAATCAAGTTACATTCCTGACCAGGTGCCAAGGGTTTCTGACAGCAATTAGTGACCAGGGAACAGCTAGAAACAGAAGCACTTCCACAGTCCTTGCTAGGAAGACCCTCTGCAGAATCCAGCCCAGGCAGCTTTGTTAATGGTTCCACGGCGGGCTCTGGAAGAGGTGGTGAGACCCATCCCAGCAGCCACGGCCCGCAGCTGGGTAAAGAGACGCGCCTCTTCCCCTCTCCGAGGTGGGGAGGTGGCGCTGGAGGAAGCTGCCTCTGACCGTCCAGTCCTCGCCCCCTCGCAGGGTTTCTAACACCCCACTGACCGGCCTCTCCTGGGGACAGCCCACTGCTCCATCTAAATGCACAGCAGTTGTGCTAAGACGTCTTGCTCGCGCTCCCCCAGCGCCCTCGGAGTCTGAAGGGCAGCCTGCCAGGCCTTACCTGGATTCCCCCGGGGGTGTCCTGGATCTGCAGGGACAGCTGGTCTCCCTCGACGCAGACAAGCCTTGAATACAACTTGCCTGGAGAAGGAAGGGGAGTCTGCTTTTAAATTCTTACACTCTCGGCGGGACAAAGAAAATCGGAGCATGCAGCCGCAAAAGCAGGGGGGCACGTAATTATTCTCACCTGTATTCGGTTCGTAATCGCCAATGAATCTCTTGGTCAGGAAGCGCACAATCATTGCTGAAAATGAAATAGGGAAATCAGCTGAAGGGCTCGGACAGGGCAGTCAAACGCTGACACTCCTGGGGTGAAGGAGGGAGGGAGGAATGGGCCCCGGACTCTACAAAACCCAGGGGCGGCGGCGGCGGTCTCCGTGCCTCCTGCGG